AACAAAGTTGCAAATTGCTCCTTTCGGGACTGGAACAATGTTGCAAGTTTAACAAAGTTGCAAGGCTCGCACGTACAAAAAGTGGCAACTCAGAAGTTCGACAAAATATGACAAAATCCGAAAAATCGACTCGACTTTGCAGGAGGAGCGATTTGCAACATTGTTAAGCCCGGAAATATCACAGATATGAGGCGAAATTATAGGGAAATATCACAGGAATGAGGCGAAATTATAGGGAAATATCACAGGAATGAGGGGAAGTTATAGGAAAATGTACCAGGAAATGAAGGGAAATTAAGGGGGAAGTTAAGGGGAAATGTACTAGAGGAAATGAAGGAAACTTAATGGGAAGTTAAGCGGAAATGTATTAGAGGAAATGAAGGAAAAATAATGGGAAATGAAAGGGAAATGCACCAGAGGAAATGAAGGAAAATTAATGGGAAGTTAAAATGGGAAGGGAAGGGGAAATGTACTAGAGGAAATGAAGGAAAATTAATGGGAAGTTAATGGGAAATGTACCAGTGGAAATGAAGGTAAATTAATAGGAAATGTACCAGTGTAAATGAAGGTAAATGAATGGGAAATGTACCAATAAACGAATGGAAATTAAAGAGAAATGTCGCAGAAACATAGGTGTCAGGAGGCGTCAAGATGTGTTAGAAGATTTTAGGAGATGTTAGAAGATGTCAGAGGTGTCAGGTTCCCATCAAACCTCATTACAAAGAATAAAAATACATAGTAGTCCCCATTTCCCGTAAAGGCGACCTCAGAGCTCATCACCGAAGAGCCCCCCACTCGGCAGACCTAGAACGAAAAGACTTTCTCACCTGCCCGACGGCAATCCTCCGACTTCGTAGCTAATTAAAGCTCAAGATTGTTCCCTCGTCCAATCCCCCCCAACCCCGCGGTATGCAAATTTCGCCTCGGTTCGTCGGAACACCGCGCATTCCCGAAGCGAGTTTCTCCCCGCGAAAACAAAGCAGATCGAATAAGGCGATAAATGAACGTTGGTAACGGAAGCCAACAAGTACCTGCTGCTGCGAGACGCCGACGTCCCGTGTCATGACGCCGCACATAGTTCCCATGTCTCGGGTCGGCGTCGCGGCGTTCTTCAGGTTTCGCTGCGACGCTCTCTGTTCCGAGAACGACTGGCTTCTGTACCTGTGCAACGTGTCGTCGCTGGAATTCGTTTTGCTCAGCTCGTCCACTTGTCGCAGGAGATTCCGTTTCTCTTCTTTCAGCACCGACACCTGCACCTGTAACACCGCGGCAAAAGAAACCCGATAATTGGAGATCTAACGCCGCAGCGAGCGTTTCCAACGGCCTCGTGTGGAAACTGTTTCGTCGAGATGCGTCGCTGATAGGGGACGATGAGCCGCGACATTATGGTATTTAACGCGAACCAGTTCATCAAACGGATATTGATCGAGTGATAATGGCGTTTTGCGCGACGATGCCTCGCTCGTAATTGTAATTGGATGGAGAGGTCGATGTAAACGTTTATTGGCTGGCGATCTGGTTTAGATAGATTGACTTGCTCTGCCTTGGTGGCTGTTCATTTTCAAGGACGTGAGAGCGTATTATCATATGAATCAAGAGTCGAACAGTGTTCAGTATTTATCGAATTGGAATTAATATTTATTTCGATTGATTAATTGAAGGCTTATACGTGAATCTGATTATTTTTAGTGCGAGCTACATGTTCAAATGTCAGAATTGATATATATCTATTTATTCATTTGAAATTGTTATGAACCCGGAATGTCTGTATGTAAAGTGATATTTAATAAAGACACGATAACATTCCAAAGAAGGAAACGTTTCTATTAATTAAGAAATAATATTTGTATACTATTTGAATTTAATCCTTTATGACTGGAACTAGATGGAGGGATGGTATCCTGCTGGCTGAGTAATTAGAGCTGACTGCGATAGATTGAATCCAATTAGCACAGACAGGTTTAATTGGCTTCTTGTCAGTATCACTCCGAATGTTCAGTCTTTGTGCCTGGCTTTATATCGGAATTATATCGCTGGCAACAACTGTTATTGTTGAAACTATTGCGAATATCATTAGCAAGTACACAGATCTGATATTTCAACAAAAGAATTCAAATCAAATTATTCGGAGTTTACTCCGAAACATTCGCGTAGTTTCAACTCTAGTTTCGATACATTTTTATTCAAACGTGTATTTATTAAATAAATATTTTATTCGAACACGTGTGTGTCTAATATTCATTCGAACATGTACCCGATTAATTCTTTATTGAACCATGTACTGAACTAAAACTTTATTTTAAATATATATTCAATTGAACCTCTATTCAGACGTGTATTCAATTATATTATCCTCAGAACATATCCCTGATTGAATCTTTATTTCCCCAAATACATCATTCAATAAATCATTCAACCACTTACTCGAGTAAAAATTCATTCACACTAAACCAAAACATCACCCCGTCTTCCTTATTTCCAAAAAAGAACGTGAAGTAACTGCAGCGCGGTCGAAGGCTTGATTACCGCTTGGGTAATCGCGTTACGAACGTAATTACGTTTTCCTGTCGGAAGTAACGCAACTAGGAGAACCCACTACTCGCGAGTCATACGTCGTTGGTTGCACTCCCAAGGAAACGTTAAACAAACTTGACGTGCATATGCGTTTACCTGCAACATGGGAATCGCCTTGACCTGTTCCTCGAGCTCCCTCATTCGTTCCAACGAAGCCGCCATTTGCTCCCTGATGTTCTGGAACAACCACGCAGTTTCAGTCTCGAGGTTCTACCGTTCACGATTAATGCGTAGCATCTGTACTTGTTGCACCCTACCTGTAGCGCACCCGTGCTGAGGTTCGAGTTCCCGCTGCCGACGCTCGCGTTGTCAAAATCACCCTGATGCTCCACCTGGCCGGTGTTCTGCGTCGGTGTTGCTGTGTTCGTTCCATCTAAACAATTGTTCAATCGTGAACCCCACTCTGAATGAAATTATACAAAGGGAGAAAAACAATATTCTATCGACTATATAAAAAAAAAAAATCCTCTAAACTCAATACCTCAGTAGAAGGACCTTACAACTTTGACGTAAAACAGTTTGGAGTATTATTTGTTACAATAATTAAGATGTTCGGGTGATCAGAGTTCGTGGACCACGCTGTATGTCTTATAGTCTAAATATAATAATTTAAATATAATAAATCTAATAAATCTAAGTACTTCATTTTATCTGTACAATTATTTTAACCCTTTGCACTCGATAGATGACTCTCAGTCACCACTAGGTTTTCTTTAGGTTTAATTTCATTGGAACTCGAAGTGTGAATAAAATGATTGTCGTTGAGGCAAAGGTGACCTGATTCTTAAATCTTAAATTAAGGATCTCGTTTTCGAAGTTAATTAGCATTCGTGACAATAGAATCCTAAGAAAGCATCTCGAGTTGCTGATAGATACCAGAAAACAGGTCTCGAGTTAATTAAAGGGTTAATTCCTTTTTCCTTTTGATCCATTCCGTGCCAACTACGAGATACCTCCTAATTTGATCTATTAGTTTGTATTTATTGCAATTAGTCGAGGAATTATTAGAAAAGCAGAACGTACTATCTAGACTAATATTTACTTTCAAAAGCAGTAAAATTAATATCACTTTTTAAAACAGATGGATTTCCGTATAATTTCCGACAGACAAATTACTCATTTGATGGAATTAATATTTCTCCTTCGATGCGAGAGTAATTTAATATTTCTGTGAAGTAGCTACGCAGCTCCCGTGCGCGAGTTAGCTAATGAATTTTCGATACGTTGGAATAATCCGAATATACATTCAGCACTTGATAAAATTAATATTTTTCGATTGTACGCGCAAATGAATATTGCAGCGCGGTACTAATACGCGCGAAAGTTACAAGGGCAGCGACGATAGCCTGTGCTTAACGCACAAATGAATATTTATGCGACGAGGAAGTACTTTGTCGGGTTAATACAATTTTTTTTCAGCGAATCAGGGCCAAATTGACGTAGCCGGCGCCGTGAAATTAACGTTGAAGCTGACATTCGAAATTAAATAAGCGTTTTGCTTGGCATTCGCGTATGTGCACGCCAGGAGGCATTTTAAAATGATCATTTATACTTCATAAAGTACGCGAAACATTTTAAAGTGCAATATTTGCCGAAACGTTGTCTGTTATTAATTTTACTTAATGGCTGGTACTTTTGAAGAATTTATGTCGGTGAAATGGAAGTCATGGATGGTAAAAAGACTCGGTAATTAATTTATAATGATCAGTTACGCCCAAACTTGACGTGTTTCACCGTGGAAATGTAATGTGATTAATATCAAAAAGAGAGGTTGACGTCGAGTAATGGAATGAAAAGTGTGTTTGGTATCACTAGGTACGCATTATAGTAATCGAGGCTAGACGTTTCGCGTGGTACCTTGCACGCGTGCAGAGCCAGCTATTTTTATCGCATTTTGCAGCATAAAGTTAGCTTGAATGTACAGCTTCACATGTGCATAAAGTACGCGATAAGAATCGAAGTGAATGTAATACGAATGTCAACTTGTAGAGGCCTCGTAAGTAACATCAACATCGATTCGGATTAGAAATTAAAGTATTATATAGAATTAAACTATTCAATATTATCAGGACTTCGTAATGGATACCGATATGCAAGTTGACTGAGAATCTAAATCGATATCGACGTGGATGGCCTCCGTAATTAATATCGCCGCTAACTAAGACTTCCTCCGCAACGCAGCCCTCAGGAACACAATGGCTGTTAACGAGTCGTCGTACGCTCGATGTTGCGCAAGCCACGTTCACCTGCGGCCGGTTCAATTTTTTTTAATTGATTCTTGCATAAGGGGCCGCACGTTACGGCATTAAAACGCCCCGCCCCGCGCGGGACAATAAAGAAACACGCCAGACGTCGTGTCGCGTCGCGACGCGGCATTTCGTATCCGTTTCGACGATATCGTGACACACGTGGGCTAGGCGTAATGCCAAAGGATTTCCCGCACGCGAGCCTAACCGTCACGCGTTCGTGCAAACTACCCTAATGCATCGTGGACCGCTTTTCTACCTTTCAGTTTTTATGCAACTGAAATTTATTGCAAGCGCGTCGTTTCGCTTGATTTCCCTCCTTTTCCGGGTCGTAAGTAATTAAATTAGGCGAGTTGATGATCACATGAAGGTTTATTTTATAGGAAGGTTTACTTTATAGTCAGGTGGTCGGAGAAATTAATAAATTGGTTGTAGATTTTACTCTGATGTTTGAGGGCCACAGGTTACGCTTGAAATTGAGTTGTTTGTTTAATTGGCACTTTATGAACTAAATGAAGGGAGTTGCACGAGGGTTTATTTTATATCTAGATGGCGAGTAAATGAATAAATTACGCGTATATTTTATTGAGAACGATGGTGGAGAATCACAGTGCTTGAAATTAAATTCTTTGTGTACTTGGTATTTAATAAGTGAAGGTTCTGAAATATGTGTAATATTTCTTTAGATATATTCACATGTCAATAATCAAAAATTGTCTGTCATTCGAATCTTAAATTGTACAAGTAAACGAATTTATAAAAAGTGAAATAAATCTACCCGTCTATAATAATGAAAACTATCCATCTATCTATCTATAATAAACATCTTACACGAAAAAATAAATTAATGCCAACAAAATGAAATAAATTCCACCGAAAAAACCAACGACAAGTTTCCCAAAAAAATGAATTTCCCGTGTCAGGTCCAACTACAGCTCAATTTTTCTGTTCGTAGCTCAGCCAGGCCCCATAAAAGGGCCCTACACGATTCCCTCTAGCTTACTAGCACGACGTTCGCGCGAATAATGGCGCATAAACGTTGCGTTTATGCTTTATATGGAGGCAAACACGCGGATTTCACCGCGCGCGCGGATTAAAAGCGTTAATCCCGAGATAAGGCGACGACTTCGATCGTGAAAGTCAAGTTAAGAGAATCCTTCTCCCCCTCGAGTCTATTCCTTCGATTTTTCTCCCATGGCGAATTAATCGTGGACGATAGGCGATCTGAAACGAGCGTTTTCTTGCAGATTCACGGAGGAAAGATGTTTCCATACGATTAGGATCTAATTCGAAGTGAATTTCGCAATTAAACGGAATGCTCAGGCACCGCGGATTCGAGCGATGGTCTCGTTTGAATTTCTTCAGCTTTCTATTGTTACACCTGTTCACCTGGCTACCGATTCGCTCCTCGGTGTGTTTACAAGCGATGATATTTTTCTAGAAAATTGTTTTACGTTCCTGCAATTGGACTTTGGAGCAGCGATAACGCGGACAAAGAATCGGATATTTTTCTAATCGGCACGAAAACTGGTTTCCGAGAATCTACATATAACTCGATACAGAATTCAAAACGAACAGTAGCTTCTTGGACTCGAAGGTCCTACACCCATGATTCTATTCAGCAAAATAATTACCACCAACGATAAGTTACATCTTTTTCTAATGTTCCATGCATTCACGCATTTCATTTATGTAAAAGTGTTCTTGTTTTTTTTTTTTGCGAGAAATTACTTAACAGCTGTTCCTACTTAGTCATCCTTTTTGAACTGCTTATTTGCTAGAAAGTTAGTCAGAGAAGCAGCTGGTAACAACGCGAGAGTATCAGGCTACTGTTAGCGGATGCCAGCAGCATTTTCGCGAGCTCCTCGCAAACTGTGTCAATGTCCTCCAAGTATTTAGATACCTGGAGTCACAGTTTGGCTCAGGTGGAAGGCCATTTACGCGCAACGACACCGGGTACAGTCCATTAAAGTGGGATTAACATTTTCTTTTGCTCTTTTTTCAGCTAATCATTGCTCTCCTCCTTTTACTCATTGAATCTTCCTCCCATTACAAATTCGTCTTACTGCAGCTGCTGTATCTACTGAATTACGAAGTTAAAGATACCTTGCTACAGTTTATACGTGTCCTTGACAAAGCTTTGCAAAGCATACTAGATCGTTCAAAGTAGAAATTAATGGTTGACTGCTAATATATTAAACATAGTTAATATTAATATTGGGTTGTCCGGAAATTCCATGTCGGTTTTTGGTAGGTGGTACAGGTTTGAATATATCGAAGTGGTTGAAAACAAATAACATGCATACATCCCTTAAAAGGTGGGAAGGTTGTGGAACAAAATGGCGCCTATGTAATTCAATAAATATATATCAAAATTCAAACGTGTTTTTGAATGTTTCTTAGAAATTGGAATTAGAATTTTTCTTAGAATTCTTAGAATTTTCTGGACAACCTAATAGATTATTTTATAGTTTAAAGATACTCAAAAAACACTGAGTGCCTCGATACTTTTTTGATCCACTGTAAGTACCTCAGATTTTCGAGAGAACCTATTTTCTGTATATCGAGACCACTGTATATCGAGAAAAGACAATACGTTTCAATCCAAACGTGTTCGTGCCCCAGACCTCGTCGCAGGTCTGGTCGTAAACCACGATTCTGTCGACGGTCCCCTCCAGTTCTTGGAATTTTACCCTAACCGATTTTACCTACCCCCGAATACGGGCTTCCCCTAGGGCTTTTACGCCGTGAAAGAGGATTTTCCATAACGGGAAACGACGGAGGAATATTTTACCACTTTACAGCTCGAACTATAAAGACATTTACAGGTGAAAATGCACAGTGAATGCGCAGAAATGCACAAGACGATTTAAAATTCTATTTTGACGAGGACATATTAATGTAGCTAAGAACAGGCTTGAAAGATAAAATGCTGGCTATTTAGAATCTGAGTAAACATTCATTATGCTTATATTCACGATTAAGATTACTATCTACATGCAACGCATTCATAATTCAAATCAAAGACTTCTAGACTCAAACTTCTTGGACTCCTAAAACGATAGCATTGAGGACTGGACTTGTTTTCGATATGAACTTGCATCTTGATTTTTTAAATAAATAACAGCGAGAAATTGCTTCGAGTTCAAGTCTGACTCAAAGCTTCTAGACTCAAACTTCTTGGACTCCTAAATCGATATCACTGAAGACTGGACTTGTTTTCTATATGAACTTGCATCTAGATTTTTTAAATAAAGAACAGCGAGAAATTGCTTCGAGTTCAAGTCTGACTCAAAGCTTCTAGACTCAAACTTCTTGGACCCTAAAGCAAATATCAATGAACTCACTTTTCCTATAAACATATGAACTTGCATCTAGATTCTTAAAATAAAGAACAGTGCGAAATTGCTTCGAGTTCAAGTCTGACTCAAAGCTTCTAGACTCAAACTTCTTGGACCCTAAAGCAAATATCAATGGACTCATTTTTAACTCCATCACTTAGCTCATTCAATAAATAACACTTGCCAATGATTTTTAATTCAGATCTACCTCAAGGTTTCTGGCTCAAACTCCTTAAACCGCTAAAGCAAATATCAATTAGACTCATTTGTCCTATCAACATCACTTAGGACTCCCAATAAATAACATCAAAGCTCCTCTTTTTCAGCAAATACCCTCAGAAACTTTCTTCCAATTCACCCCTGGCTTCAAATCTATTTCTACTATTTCTCCTATTTCCTCGAACGATTCCAACAGTCCCAAAAGAGGAACGTTCTTGTCATAGGTCAAACTAGCTAGAGTCTAGCTGCTAGAATACACGCAACGACACGCGTCTTCTGTATCTCTGGCGGTAATAAATATCAACTTGTTTGGATCCCGATAAACGCTATCATTTAATTACTTTCGTCGTCGAATCACGTTTCCACCAGCAGACGAATGCATCGTCGCCGACGGCGGGAATCCAGATTCTAGGTAAGAGATTAACGGTGGCGAAATGCAAGCGGCCACCGGTTGTCCGGCGATAATTCACGTATAAAACATGACCCCGCGGGAAAAATCGAGTGACGCAAGAATTCGTTATCGTTCCGTTTCGTAGATACGCACAGAAAAATACACTGCGCTCTGACACGTTCGCGATTATCTACGGTTAAAAGTCCCCTAACCCCGGAGGAAGGCAATTTTCAGAATGAGCCATCAACAAGGAAATACAAACAAGTGGACACGATTATCGGATAACTATTCTCTGGTTCTATTGGCTCTTGTCTTTTCCTGATAAAATCACACCGCTCCTGATAATTTACTACTGGTAAGGCATTCAAAAAGGGAAAAGCATATACTATTTTTACTATATTTCCTCTTGAAGATTTGGTCACTTTACTTTTCATTTCTCTTTTTATTTAATTATACTTATAGTATTTTCGTAAGTTGAGAAGGACACGTAAAGTATAATTAAATAAAAAGGCCCAATCTTCAAGAGGAAGGATAGTAAAAATAGTATACGCTTTTTCCGTTTTCGAATGCCTTACTACTAGACTGAGGATGTTCATGCAAATTCATATCTTTGCAAACGAAAGTGTGTCTTATTTTCTAAATAACATAACACGAATATTATAAATGATATTTTATATATATTTGAATTTGCATAAACATCCACGGTATGCTTATCAGTACCCACAGTTGGAGACCTCTCAGACTGAGAATGTTTACGTAAATTCATCGCTTGACAAATGAAATGTCTTATCTTTCAAATGATGTAACATGTATGTTATTGTTGATATAGTTTTGCATGTGTGAGAATAGGTCTCTACGCGCCATGCATGCATAAATATCCGCAGTCTACCTACAAAACTCTTTGTAAAAAATCTCCGAAACACAAATTTATGGAACACTGAACCAAACAAATAAAAAAACTCCAAACACTCACGGTATTTCCTCTTCGCCTTCATCTTACAGAACGGTATCCTTTTCATGATGAAGTTCTTCACCCCCATTTTGGCAGACCTGTCACTCTTCACTAAAAATCCACAAAATACAACAGAGTCACTACCACGATCAGCTAAACCATCCAAGGATCCTCTGCCATAGATAACTTCTCCACCGATTCAACTCGAGGATTCAATTTCGTCGCAACCCAGTCGAAACTTCAAATCGATCGATGGATCGTAGAGATTCTGCGCTTCGTTGGTCGTTTTTCGTTCGTTCGACGTCGCGTAAACGCGGCAAATGCGATGATATTCTACGAAAATTACGCGTAAATATTCGTTGCGGCCGATGAATGACGCCGCGTCGCGATCAGATCGGACCACCGGCGTCCCCGTGGCGATTGATCGTCGCCATCGATCCCCAATGATCGTCCACGGAGGACCTCTTCCCTCGATTTTTCGAGCATTCGCGGCACGGATCGGTTTTACCGCGGCCACCGTTTGCGTTTGACTGTGACGCCGAACTCTGGGCTATAGCCAACGAGGACTCCTGGCTACACGCGACGAGGTGAATGGAGAGGGGAAATTGTGCCTCTTCTTCTGTTCTTTGCCCGGTGTTCCCTCGATTTCTTAATCGCTCCAGAGAAAAAAAAAAAAAAACAGAACGTCATCGACCATCCCCACCTCTTATCGCGCCGCGAACGCGTACTCCCCAAGCGACAATGTTTCGCGACCTGATAACGCTGGCCTCGACGAAATCCGCGTTATCGCGGGATCAATTGGAAGCATCTAATTTCCAAATTGTGGACGCAGATTGGTAGCTACGACGTCGACGAATGGTTTTTCGGATAAAGCTTAGGGGAAGATTGATCAATAACGACTGGATAGTCTGGTATAATTGATTTCAGTTGTTTGGGCGACGTTGAAATATCTTTTTAACCTTGGACCTCTGTCTTTTTTTTTGTCTCTCTGTGGACTTTTGAGAATTTTATGACGCGATTGACTTTTAGTAATCTGGATAAATAAAGGAATAATATTGAATTAATTTTAAGAGCCTTTAAATAACCTAGGCCTAACCTTTCCCCTTTCGTGGAGGAATAATAATTATATTCTATCAGAAATTGTGACTCAATAAAATCTGAAAAGAATCGAAAATGGATTCCGCAGACCCTTAAATCCCAAAAAGTGAATCACAATCTACGGTTAAACCACAATGCCACAAAAATCCCACACATTTTCGATACAATGCAGCTGAATTCTCGAATTCTTCCACGGAGGCCACCGAGTTTATCTTTCCACCGATTAAAGCTCTGTTTTCACTGGCAAGGTTACTACCTCTGCCCAATTAATAAATTTCTGTATTTACGATATCATGATTCGCGCACTTCAAGAGTATGGAATGTTATCTGCATCGTTATCGATCAGACCGACCGCGAATACTCGATCGAATGCGAATTTCACGGATTAAAATCCAGTTTTTAATATCGTCGGTTCGCTAAATGGCGACGTTTGAATTTCTTCTGGTTTCTACTTTTCTGCGTCTGCCTTCGTTACCGTCTTAATTACTCTTCGCGGCATGTAGGCTATGAAATTGCGCATGTATCGGTGTCGAGGGCGATGGAACTCGTTAGAAATTGAGTCTTTCTTATTGTCGCGTATCTCGTTTTATTCTGGACGAAGGATTTCTTTGGGTCTGGTTCTATTGTTTCTTCGTAGCCTGTTCGGTAGATAATGCACTTGCAAATTGCTGCTGTAATTCATTGATCACGCGAAGGTTGCTTCTGTCATTTAGGTTACTAACTGCAGCAATTTAAAAATTTTGTTCGAAATCTTTGTTATCCATGGCTGGATCCTGTCGAGCTTACTCCAATCTGTTGTCAGTGACTTTATCTACCACGCGAATTAAATTATCGAAATATCGTTGAGCCGTTGGCTGTATTTTTCCACGTAAAGATATGCATACATTAGGTGAAGAAATTAATTCTCTGCCTCTGTATTCAATTATATATAAGTCTAATTTAAACAGATTAGTACGAACCTTCTGAATTCTCAACCTGATCTCTACTGGAATCTACTTTTTTTTTTATTATTATTCTTCTTTTATACTACATGTAGGATAATAATAATTTTAAGGAAAAATGTATGCCTAGCAATCTTCATATATAGATTCATTGTAATAGAGACAAGTTCGACAATCAACAAGGTTTTTAATTTAACACATAGCGACAAACTGGCAATAAAATATTCCTACCTAACTTAAGATTATGAATGATTGTCTCCAAAGCCACAGAATGAATTTCCACGAGTAATATAAAACTAAAGTGGATTAAATTTAACAAGAACGACCTCAACCACCCATAAAACGAAATTACGAATTTTGACGTACTCGGACGCAATCAATTTTTCATATTTGTCGTACAATTTAAATTGCCGGTTGAACAGCCGTCGTTGGTTAGCCGGAACCGTATATTTCCAGACGTCACGTCATTGTCACCGGGCCGCGACTGGCTTTTAAATTTTCGATTTCATCGTCGGCCTGGATAACACTAGCACCAGTTGCGCCGCTTAGGCTGGCAGGTGTATACGTCCATATCCGACCACCTTGCTCCAACAAGGTTGCACCAAAACGGTTTAGCGTTCCCGATGAAGTCATGTCGTCCCTTCCAAATCGAGTTAAAGTAGAGTGCATCGCGACGCAACGTCAACTTTCGCAGAGAATTATCCTGGGAGGGTGGGGGCGGTGGTAGAACAGGTGTCCAAAACGCAAAATTGGAAGCATAAATGTAATATAGGGTCCAGGAGAATGATTTCTACGAGGGTAATTAATTGCAGATTAATGGAAATGATTTGGAAGTGTCGATCACAAGTCTTCGGTATCTTTGGAATAATTAGTGGAAAATAAATATTCGGGGGAAATTTTGTTTCGTGGAAGGGAGCCTTTGGAGATATTTTTTATGGCCTGAAGGTGGTAGCTTCCTTTTCTAGTTTAGAATTTATAGGTTTGAGGGAGTAATGGTGTCTTCATTTTGGAGACTTTGTAGATACTGTTGATGCCTTGGAGGTGGTAGCTTCCTATTCCATAATAGCTTAGAATTTATATTTCTTAGGTATCCATTGAGTCTTCATAGATATTGTTTATGACTCACAGGTGGTAGCTTCCTTTTATAGTTTAAAATTTATAGTTTTGGTGGAGCTATGGAGTCTTCGCTTTCGAGGCTTTGTAGATACTGTTCATGCCTTGAAGGTGGTAGCTTCCTATTTTATAATACCTTAGAATTTATATGTCTTAAGTATCCATGGAGTCTTCGTACACATTCTTTATGTCCCACGGGTGATATTTTCCTTCTCCCCCTCAAAATTTATATTTTCTAGCGAGCTATGGAGTCCTTGCAACATCATTTATCCCCTGTATCTGAAACTTTCCTCTCCTACTTCAGAATTAATACTCCTTAAATACCCATAAAGTCTTCGTCTTCTCTTCGAAAATATTATAAATGGACAATTTAAAAGGAGAATTTCATTTTCCCAGGTCCGGGTTCCGATTTCGATATCCAATACGTGTATTTTCGGCCGGAATGGCCTCGACAGATCCGTGTCGCGATGTTATGACCGCGTTATTTTCGTGCTCGCGTTTTGGCAGAACGCCTTTTTCACCGAGCGGCTGGTTGCTTTCAGTCGAACCGATAAATTAACTGGAAACGCCTGGCAATTTCTTCGTCTCGTTAGCAACTCGTCCCTCTCCGCCCCTGCCCGTTCAAGAAGCTGCCTGTTCCTTAGGAAATCCACAAACGCGTGAATATTTTCGACATGCAAGGGGCAATTATGAAGATCGTGGATTCCATGATGTTTTTCTACTTTCTAGGCTTCCTTTATGCCGTGTTGACTCGCGAGTGGCATTGTTGCCGCTCAAATGATGGAATAATGAGTCTGGCTTGACTTTCATTAAATTCCTGGAGGTTTATCTCTTTCTGGAAATTTTTTTAAAGTGGCTACGTGGTCATGTTTTGGGGATTAATTTATATTTGGAGATCAATTTTAAAATATATGTGCCTTCTATTATTTTTAGTACGGGTTGCAAGTTGAATGACTTACAACACTCTCAATCTTATTTTCTTACTGCACCAGGTTTCAGAAAGATTCAAAAAATTGTGGTTGCTATCCACACTCTGTATAATATCTCTAACGTTAGAAATAAGAAAAGTATTGAAAGTAAAATTTTGATTCTGCACTGACATACATAGTTTGCAAGCTAAATGACTTGAAACTCCCTCGATCTACTTTTTTTACCGCTCTAGGTTTTAAAAAGATTCAATGAAATTGTTTCCTTTTCCTTTAGAATTTATGAAACATTTCTAATTCCAATGTATATTCCATATAGTGAAAGATGCCTCGTGAAATTTCGATTCTGTTCCCAACCACACAGATTGCACGTCCACTAAACTAGAATACCCAAAATAATCTGCCAGAGTACCCAAATAGATAACTAAACCTCTGGAATGGCGATTAATTAATTCGTCATAATTACGCGTGCTTAACCGCGTCCAGGTGCCCTTTACGAGACCTCAAAACTCATGGGGGTGGGATACAGTTCGCTAGCCAAAGGTTCAGTCGCCCGTTTGATGGCGTTTGTTTAGACTAACCAACAGATTAAATTTTCCCTCGCAACGTCCAGCGCTGAACGGAATGCGTTCAACTTTATACGAGCAAGTGTTACCTGTCGTAAATTGCATTATTCAAATTTCACGTGTGGTACATATCGCCCCGGCGTGCTCGATGGAGCGTATTGCTTCAATTTGATGCACTTTCGCGTACGCGGAATAGCGCCGGGCTTAAATCCGTCGGGGCGGGAATGGAGAAAGTTATTTACGGGACGATAGTTTCTTAATGAGATCGTTTATGGCCATGAATTTCCAACTCGATGACAATATGTAAAAACTGACAGGCCAAGTCGGTTGTACGATTCATGAAATATAAAAACTTCGAGATATTTTATCATAAACACGTGATTAATGCGTATATGTATATACTTATAAACATATTTAATACTTTGTAGATGTTAATCCTTTCATAATATACAGTATATTATTATGGACTACATATATGTATATTTTATACTGATCCGTTCGGGTTGGTTGTCTTTGTATCGTACCTTTTTGTCTCGCCATAAAAATTCCGAGTGGTATTTACGTAACAGATTGATGCACAATTTTCAGTTATAGGTCTGCTTTTGTGACCATGACGCCTGGCCCGCACTTTCACAATAATTGTCTAGAATAAATCACGACATCGCAATGCAAATGAGACACGTCGTTAATATTCCTGTCACAATATTAAATTGCAAAGGTGAGTTTACCTAGAGCGCGCAAAAGTTTCCAGACAGTTACTCCCGGCAGCTTTAGAAACGGAAAATACAGATGAATTTTAATAACATGGAATTAAAGCATAACGAGTTGGATTATAACGAGTCGTACGGTAGAAGTTTCTAGCAGAAACACTTCTCTCGTCTTTGATGATTATTTCTTTCTCTATGGAATGTATGAAAAGTAATTGTCAGGAAACTCTGCACGCACGTTTCGTTTTGCAATTATATAAACAATGCGAGAGACTAAAATCTTACTATTGATAAATATGAGAAACAGAAAATTAGTCCAGAGTTTGTTAAGGAGGGTGAACATTCCTATCTATGTTCCAAGGGGGTCAACAGATCAACTGAACTCGATTATGGTACTATGGAAACTCCGTCCAGCGGAGTGCAATGCAATTTTCTTGTTCTCACGAGAAACAGTTGTGCAAATATGCATCGTAATAGCTATTCAACTGCCATTCATATGAATAATGGTAACAGTTCAGCTGGCTTTTTCAGGTTCG